CATAGGGCCGACGCCTTAAAATCTTTAAAAATAATCTGTCCAGAAGGCGTGTGTGTGTGTGTGTGTGTGTGTGTGTGTGTGTGTGTGTGTGTGTGTGTGTGTGTGTGTGTGTCGCTAGTTGGATCAGCAGCATGGCATGCTGTCCACTTTACAAAGTGAGTCTCAATATATTCTTCAGTGTTCACTTGGTTTTTTACTGAGAGCTGATAAAAACAAAAACTTCTGTGAATCAGTGGTAGAAACGGTAACTCTGGATCAATGTCAGTTTAAAAATAGAAGTCATTAGTCGGCAGAATTTTAGATTTGAAGTTTGACTGACAACAGCCTCCAACGGAAAGTCGGAAAATGTTCATCTTAAATTGTAAATCATGAGACAGAAATTACGATTTGGTGTCACACATTACCAAATTAAAAAAGGATTCATTGTTGTGGCTTAATATGGAACAACATAAAATCATTTGAGCAATAAAATTCAAGAAAGATACAGCCCAACCAGTACTGTCGGAAACTGGAATATTCCTTTAAAAGAGATTATGCAACATTACAAAACTAGAAGTTGCCACTGTGGCCAATTTCAAATGCAGAGAAACAGGGTTTGTGTACCAGCTATACAAGCAGAGAAGGGTTTTAAAATCAACAAATACACTCGACAATGTTTCAGCACTATGAAGCCTCTGAAGTTACAACTACTTTTTACTTCTAAGTTGACGAATGTTTTATTTCTGGGTGCTCACATTGAGAATAATGTAGAGGTGTCAGGAAACGCCCACACTATTCTTAAAGTTAAAAGCTGTCTCATTCAAGCTTGCTTTCTCTCTTCCTTTTTCGCGCTGCCTCTCCCGCTCTTCCTCCTTTCCCTCCTTTGCCTCTCTCCTTCTTCTATTAAGCCATGACAACTCCATAATCTAAGCCAGAGTGACCTGTCCGGACCCTCTGTGCCGCCTGAATTTATTGGAGGCAGAAAGAGAATGAGAACCTGTCAGTGGGATTGCCCTGACCTCCTAACACTCTCTCTCTCTCTCTTTGGCAGATTCACCAGAGCAAATACAGCATCCTGCACTTTGGCAACTAAACATCTACCTTCAGCTCCTCTATGAATGAAAAAAACAAGATATTTAACTATACAGGCAAAAACAAAATGACTAAAACGTCTTTGTATTCATCTTAAAGCACAGCTTACAATTTGGCTGAACTTTTCATCCCCCTACTCTTTGATTCTTTGTTAGGCCGCCTCTCTTAATACTGACTATTGACTGAAGACATTTTACTGTGTGTGTTCACTATCTATGAATGAGGCTGTTGCAATAAAAGAAGGGTCGACCGATATTAGTTTTTCAGGGCCGATGCGGATACGATTATTGGTAATTCATGAGAGCAATAACTATTTATTTGAACCGATATGCATTTACAGTGAAGATGAAAATCTTTCTGTTAAAATTTAGGATTGGGAATATAACAAACTCCAACACTAGACTTTGTTTAAATGTTCATCCTGAGATTCTCCTCGTGCTTAAGGCTGCTCTCCTCTCTGTGTAGGTCAGTGGCCCCGAGGCTTCAGTGTTGACTGGCTGTTACTCGTGTGATGTCTAGTTAATCAGAGAGTGTTGTGGGTGGGACATTATAGGTGAGACAGAGTGGAAACAGACCCAGAGGGAAAGACACACCTGCAGTGGAGCCAAAAGAGCAAACTTTTTATTTCATTAATTTGATCAGCTATCGTAACATAAAACGCTGATACAGATAATCAGCCAAATGCGGATCATGGTCACCAATAATCAGCCAGACAGATAATTGGTCGACCCCTAAAATAGACCTAGAGAAGACACAAGTCACACACTTGATAGTGACTGCTTGCATTTAATTCATAGCAACATACAATAAAATGAAAATGACTTTTAAGTGGTCATGAAAGATGGTACAATTAGCAGAAAAAGAATTGGGTTTCTAGGGCTGGGAGAATGCTCATTTGTTACTTTAAATCAAAAAAAAAAAGTGGATTTCCATTTGATAAAAGCACTTGTGGCCTTGACTCAAGATAAGGAGTTGGGATAAAGTCTGAGCTCTTAGCAGATCGCAAAAGCACCCATCAGAAGAGAGTCTGTAACCTCTGTGAATACACTTCTAAAGCTAGCCAAGGGTTGCTCTGCCACAGACACTGGATCGCAAAAAAAATACTCTCTCACAGCATTTGGGCCCAAAGCGAATATAAGGACATAATTGAGTCTAAACCAAGATGTACCCACCATGATGTTACCCATGCACTTTCTGCTATTTGAATATGAACATTTAACTTCTCATAAATACTGAGGCACTACTACAGGAGCTCTGTGTTCTATGAAAAGCAGTCAGATCCAACGGCTGTTGGAAAAAAGTCGACACAAAAAATTGCCTCGCAATTAGCATCAATTATTATGGCCTATTTAAAATCCAAGCAACAAAGAGACGAAAAGACAAACTGCTTGTGACTTTTTGTTTCAGATGTGACACAATTAAAGGGGAAGACTCTGTTCTGAGCATGTATAGTTATTATCGGCAATACTATCATTAGCACCACCATCATCATCATTATTATTATTTCAAGCTGTATTTAATGCTTTTGACTACATGCTGTAGTTGCCAGAGTTAATTATGGTTCTGTTGGACGGCCTTAACCCTTTGCAAACCATCATTACAGCACTCTCTTTCTCACTCAGAACTGAATCTTCTCCGGTGTCCTTACTCACTCCTGCATCCCCCTGGTTCTTTAAATGTTTCATAGCTCATTCCTCTTTGAACGTTAATCCCTCCTTCCCTCTCCAGATGCTTCTCGGATGTACTCTCTGTTCCTCCTGTCCTCTCTCTGTCCTTTATATCTCTTTCCTCTCTGCCAGTGGAGAGCAGTCACCAAGCTTGCTATTAGTGCCAGGTCCAAGCAGGAGCTGTAATCAGAGCCCTGGAATTAGCAGCGGGCCCTCGCTGGCAGGCGGGCACGACGCTGACAAAAACACTATAGTTATTATTGAGGCTGCTGCAATGTTGCAGCTTTGGCAAGAATCCTCCGCTCCCCTCAGAGCCCGGGATCTTGATGGACTTTTGCTAGAGGGGAGCAATGAAAGGTGCAGCAGGAGTATAGGCAAACCACCAGGGGCAGCGGGATAAAATACACACTGGATGACGACCAATGGGGGCAGTGAGTGGCACATTTTGTGTTTGTGAGGGTGCAGGTGGTGCTTAAGCGCTGGGAGAGAAGCCATATTGGAAAGACAATAGATGGAACAAAATGGGGACATGTTTTAGCATTTGGAGGATAAAGAAAGGGAGGAAAACGCCTGTTGTATTAGGACAGGGTGTAATAGAAATCCATTTATAGACAATGACAGGCAATTCAGAGTCACTCAGAGACGTGCAGCTTTGTGTTTGATGTGCTACTTTTCCGTCCCAAAGATCAAAACGTCTCGACTCAAACCCTTCCACCTTCAGCATGCTTTCAGCAGTTTATTCACCGTATACCTGACTGTTTTTAAATTGAGTTCTCACAGCACTTTAATGGAGAGTGTCAGTCCAGGGTCAGACAGCTTTCTGAGATACCCAAGCCTCCGCAGACTTTCTGGGATTGATCTTTTCTGGATCAAAGGCACCAATTTGATCTCCTGAAATAATATATATATATATAAAAGCTGTATGTACTAATGGTAACGCTTCAAAAACATTTGCAGACATAAAGAATTCTGGTTATTCGAGAGGTCTTTGAAGAATGATATGAATCAGTCTGTTTGGTGTGTGATGATCTCATAAATACATTTCAGCAGAAGAACAATCGATTCCACTCAACCCGCTTGTTGTCCTTAAACGTGAAAATGCACAACTTTGACTATATTGAACTTTGATCATGCAAAAGTTATTTAATGTCAAACTTTAAATTACCTTCCTTTTCCTTATACTCCTAAATTATTGAACACAATGAGCGAGAAGAAGGGGAGATAAGTTCTAATTGCTTTGCCCAGATATTTAAGAGCTATTTTTTTTCCCCTCGGCCAGGTTACACTGTGATGACCTCCACTACTGCTGCACAACCCAAGACGCATTCCTCCTCTTAGCAGATTACTCAGAATTCAAATGAATGAGTGTCTATGCACTGCTTTAAAGGCTATGTCAGAACTCTTAATGTGTCTATTTAAAGCACTTCTTCAGAGTTCAATCTAACTTCTGAGTTTCTATTTACGTAGTGTTTACTGAAAGTCGTCAGGCGTGCTGATTTAATTTACTGCTACTGCATATCTAACCTTCTACTATGGATTAAAAATGTTCTAATGGCTAACTAGGTTGATGTTTATAATGCAAAGAAGTTATTGGAAACATGTGTGTTCCATAATAGCAAAGACACATTGTAAATGGTAAATGGACTTGAGCTTGTAAAGCTCTTTTTTAGTCTTCTGACTACTCAAAGTGCTTTTACACCACAGGTCACACCTACACATTCACACACTGATGGCAATGGCTGCTATGAAGTGAGACCATCAGAAGAAACTAATCCCATTCATACGCTGTAGACGAAGCAGTGGTAGCAATTCTGGGGGTGTCTTGCCCAAGGACACATCTGACATGTTGCTATTTGTCAACAAATAATGGCCCAATCAAACATGCAGGAGACATTCTGCACCACTTATTGTGCACATTAGATGATGTTGCCAAGAGGAATAGCACCAACAGTTGGAGCAACAGGAACTTAGTTTAAAGGGGAAGTAGGAGACAGGCTCCAACAGGGGTAACTAGCATATATTAAATAAAACCTCAGGATTTCAAACTTTACCTTGCAGCCCTTTGCAGAGGATAAACTGTCTAACAAGGTCATATCAGGTCATTTGCACAAAGTGTAAACCGAATCAGCTCAAATCATTGTCCTTGTGTTTAAAAAATCCTTCTCAGACTCAAATGAGATCGTGTAATTCGTTCATATGTTTGCTTGCTACAGCTGTCTGTAAAAGTGGTTGTTTTGATTGGTAGGTGGTAACGGTACTTACAGCAGGGTCCCTTGCGCAGCACCTTGATGCGTCTCTGTGCGTGGCACTGAGCTTTCTCCAGCTCGCACTCATTGGAGTAGGTGGATGAGTCCGAGCCGCAAACAGGAGCCACCAAGGACGGACACTCCACTCTCTTACAAACACACTCTGCTTTGGCCGGGTCTGTCGGGTCGCGCTCACATACAGCTCCGAATCCACACAGCATCCCTCTGCAGCCTGCAAGACAGGAAGAGAAAGAAGAAGAAGGGGTTAGGTTGGATATACAGACATGTAATCAGGATGTAGCTAAGTTCTATTTCATGATACTGCAACACAATGCACAAACAAAACCTCATTAATTTCCCCCTCACTTATTCTAAGAGAAGTTTTCCATCACTGCGTGCTATGAAAGTTTTATTTTTAACACCAGACCGGCCTGTCTGAACAGATTCATCTCAATATGTGTCAGTCATGGGGGTCTCTGTGCAGAACTTCTCACAGTTCAGAAGCACAAATGCATCAGGGATGAAGTGTGATCGTGACGCAAAGCAAACAGATGCTCTCCATTCATTCAGGGAGAATTGGTCCAGCCATGCAGAGCCTGCACAGTGTGTTGCTCTGTTTTCTAATCTCTAAACACTTTCAATTTTAAAATTCCTAAAAAAGTCAGCAGCAGCATTAAAATCCATTTACAGACAGCAGGCTGATACACAGCCATGTGGACAGGTTTGTTTTTATGCACTGACGAGTCGGCGGTCTTTGAAACATCAATGATCCAACATCCAAGAAAAAAAAACATGGAGGGACGAGTGAGCGGACACAAACCAAGGTTAACCAAACACTTCAAGGCTACATGAGTAGAGCAACAACAACTTTTCAGACTTTGATCCTGAACTTCCCACCAAGTCCTCGGCTTTGATCAGGAGTGAAACACCAAACTGTAAACTTTGTGCGCGGCTGCCGAATGCGCAGAGCAAACAGGGAGCGCCTGTGTGCGTATGTGCTCGTGTTGTGTGTACACAACATCGACTTAGAGAGTAATTGACCCGTGTTGTGGCAGCTACAGCTGCTGTGGCTCTGCGCCCACTTTGAGGGCTGTTTGGCAGCCAGCTGGCGTGACGTCCTTGCCTCAGCATCGAGAGCGGGGGGGTAAGTTAAAAGAGATGCCAAGCTCTCACAGGTAGCCAACCTGATCGTAAATCAATGGACAAAAGCACATAAAAGTCCACCTAAAGAAGACTTCTTAGTTTGAGGGGCAAACAAGTGATGTCAATGCTGAGGATATGAATGTCACACAAACACACACAAATAAACACACACAGCTATTTCTTATCGCTGGCTTCCAGGCCAGGACTAAATGCAAGGCAGCATGTCCACCATGACTCACTGGCAGGTGGCTTTAGCTGTAGTGGATGGGCAGACACACAAAAAAAAACACACACACACACACACACACACACACACACACACACACACACACACACACACACACACACACACACACACACACACACACACACACACACAGAGTCAATGTGTGTAGCTTAGACAACTGGTCCAGCATCTGCCCAAGCATCTCTTCTGTCTCTCTTTACACCGGTGCACAGAGTTTGAGTGTGAGTCTGTGTGTGTGTGTGAGTGTGTGTGTGTGTGTGTGTGTGTGTGGAGTGACAGGCGAGGAGGCTGTTCTTGACTTACCCACTGTTCCCTGTGGGAGAGCGCCTGACAGCTACCTGAGCTCACTCTCTTTTGTACCGGGGGAAAAGGAAGTGTGTGTGTGTGTGTGTGTGTGTGTGTGTGTGTGTGTGTGTGTGTGTGCACGCAGAGCTATCCATGAATGCATCTGTATTCCTGACAGCATGTGTGTGTGTCTGAGAGGTGTAGACATTAGGTGTCTCACACACATACACACACACACATATACACACACACACACACACACACACACACACACACACACACACACATAGCCAGGTGCTTGCATGGAGGCCTTGTCATGACTGGCCCACAGCTCTGCCATCACTTCACACCACACGCGTTGTGCATGTGTATATGAGTGTGTGTTTGTGTTTGTGAGCTGCTCGCAGGCGAAGCGAAACGAGAAGAGTGACAAGAGGTGAAATTCAATCGAACTGTGTCAGATGCGTACAAGAGAGGGGGAGGGTGTCTGATAGTATGACAGGGGAGAAAAGCAACAATGTGAACAAACAATGATCTCTCTCTGTGTTTTAAATACATCAGCAGTGTGCCACTACACAATGTTTGTAACACCTGTATTATCCATTATAGCATTATATCATATTGGAATGAATGGATCACATGTGTAACCCATTTAAGGGCAGACTTCAAATTCTGCTCACTTTTTATGCTTGACCCCTTGTTGAGGAGTCTAATGTCTCTGATGATGAGTTACAGTTTTAATACTTGAGTGATGGGCAGGTATGAAAGATAACGATACTTGTTTCAATACCTCAGGTAACTATATTAGAAGTCCTCGGCACCCAAAAGTGAATTTCTTGTTCTTTTATTACAGGAAAAAATGCAGGCTCTCCTCTCCTGCATATCTGTCGTATAAAACAGATGTACGACTATTTTTTGGTACTTTAGATATTGTAATGTTTAAAACAAGTGATATTGAGAATGGAAAGGATCAAATTATTGAAATTTAATTTTGAAGTAGAGCCCGACCGATTAATCGACCAGTCAATAATTTCAGCCGATATTAGCATATCCAGTGATTATCGGTATCGGCTAATTTTATCGCAGATATGCGCTGATATTACAAGATTTAATCACGAATCAAATAGCATTTGATTTGAGTATTGATGTATTACACTAGCAGAGTGTGTTATATGGATTAATACAAGCATTCTCACTCTCCGGAGTACGATCATGCACAGTTACTTTCCAGTTGAGTGAACATCTTGTCTTCATTATATATATTTTCCACAGGTGTTAGCTAACTGGATTCAATGGTTAATTCCATTAATTTGTATATCTCTATCTATCTATCTGTACAGATTGAGTAAAGATCTAAGATAGATATCGGCTGATATATAAATACTGATAAATACTGGTATGGGTATTTGTTTTTTTCCTGTCCCTTATATGGGTATCGGCCCCAAAAATCCCATATCAGTCGAGCCCTAGATATACGTATTACTTTTTGTGTTCTACACATACGGAGAGTTATGATGACATATATGTGTAAATGGTTTGACTTGCATTAAAAATATACATGAATGTATTCTCCTAGTTAAGATGGGGGACTGGTCGACTGAATTCAGACCTTCAAGTCGTGCCTTATCATGACCTCTTTCTGTGCATACTCATGCGCCTATAGATTTATAGAAGCCTCAGGAAAAAGGGTTGTGATGTAAAACAGTAAACACACCACCTGGAGAGAACAATCATCATGAGTGCCAGCAGTGGTTTGTAAGCCGATCTCTTATGCGATGTTTTCCTATAAGAAAATCTCACTCTAGCCCGGAGCTTAGCTGACTGACAAAAGACTGACACCAGAGCTGAGGGTTCTGTCAAAGTGCAGGTATCAAGAGCAAGCTCTGGACGGAGCGCACAAACTGCATACCTAATGTGCTGCGAAAGCTTCCTGTGAGAAATCCACCTGATACACGAGAAATGATACATTTGACACTCCAGATTTCTTACGAAAACAAAGAAACCCTGGGTAGTTAACATGATCTGCCTTATCTACCAAGGCTGAATATAAAAGGTACACCACACAGGCGGATATAGGAAGAGAAAAAAACAATAAATTCAGACATTTCTTGCCCTGACCCTTTTTGATTGAAAGGTAATCTCTGGGAGTCCAGAACAAAGAATAAAAACAAGGATCCCATGGACATGTCCCGGAGACAGAGGGCTTACTTTACAAAGACAACAGATGAGATGAAATGTCATTTTCAGGAAGGCAATGTTGAACTTTTCCCTCTGGTGAAGCACAACATTGCAGTATTATACAGGCTACAACTGGGGGGGTTATAATTCAGTTTCTCCCTAACAGGATTACAATATGAAGAACTCCAGCAATGAGAAAACAAGTTGAAAGTCTTTTTTTGGAGTTTTTTTTTACAGTCATTGTTATGACAAGTCTGAAAATATGGATAAGTACTTCGAGACACAGTGTTTTTATGTATGCAGTGTTTTTTAAAGAAAGTTCAAGACACTCTGCTCTGATGGAGGAACATTTCTCTCTGGAAACTTTTCCATTACGTGGCAATAAAATTCATCGGCATCGTGGCAATATATCAGATGTAAAAATAAAAACTTTATCCTCATCTGTTAGAGTACCGAGAATCTTTATAGATATTTTCCAGACAACAGATGTGATTATAATGAGAACAACTGGGACTAATAAGAATGACCTTTGGAGAGTCTATTCTCTTGTTTGACCTGTGAGAGCGTTGAGGATGTGAGATGTGAGTGTTGTGTGGGCAGCAGAGTCCGAAAGCTCACTGCTTTGCTGCACCGCTCTGTTCTGTTACTGTGCTCTTTATTGACACCGCAGTCCAATATCTCTGAGGTGAGATTTAATACTACCACTGTATTTTACCGTTTCTCGCAAGAAATGAAACGGAAAATAGAAAGTGTTATAAAATCTTACACTGACATTATTCGTCATTCAGACGTGTTAGAAACACCTTCAGAGGCACTTAGGAACCTTTCAGAAAAATAGTTCTTAAGTGTGTGTAAAGGTGTCTGGCTTTTGTGTACAGAATAGAGCCAGTATATTTAAACTGCAGACATTCCCAGCATCAATGTAAGCTCTGCCATTCTTTGTGCAAATGCCTTTTTGAGTGCCATAAGCACGTGTGTGTGTGTGTATTTGCATGCCAGCCTGCACATGCAAGAGTGCAAGGTAATCTTTAGCCCTACAGCGTAAACTCCACTGCCAAGCCTTTTCTTTCTTTTCTACGAGAAGCAGAAAAGCAAATCCCATTGGGGAGAAAGACAGCATGTCCAGTTTGCGCTTGTCAAGGCGAACTTCTTGTCCAGGTAACACTTCATCCTGTGTTTGGACGGCTCATCCATTAAATAAGACACGGTGTGGGAGCCTTCAGACTGCTCTCAATGCGTCAGTGGGTTATGAAAGAGAGGGATCACACTGTTGTGATTAAAGCTACTGAGAGGAAATGTCATGGTTTAAGAGTTGAAAGAAAGTCAGGCATAGTTCTGTAGTGGCAATTTTCCACGATTGAAAATGCCAGTTGTGTTGC